GGTTTAGGGCTGTTGTGCATAGGGTCGCTATGAGTCGCAAACGATTCGATGGCACATAACAACAACAACAACAATATGTGCTTTGGTTTCCCAACTGATGCTCCCATGAGTCTTGATTGTGGATCCAATCAAATGAAATCCTTGACAAATTCAACTTTTCTCCATCTATCATGATATTTTTTTGTCCAGTAGTGAGATTTTCATTTATGTTGATATGTACTCCATATTGAAAGGTGTATGTAGTCTTCTTTTATCTTCAGTAGTGTTTCAAGTCTTCTTCAATTTCTGCAAATGTTGTTGCCACTTTCTTCTTCATATAATCCTGGTTTTTTCACGCAGATTGAATAAGTATGGAGAAAGGATATAACCTGACACACACCTTTCCTGATTTTCAGCAATAGAGAATTCTCTTGTTATTTGAATAATCCTTAGTCTATATACAGGTGTATAAGGCGCACAAGTAAGTGTTGTGAAATTCAATTCTTCTCAGTGTTAAACAAAATTACACAGTCAAATGCTTTTGCATAGCCAGCAAAATGCAAATAAGCATACTTCTGGTGTTTTCTTCTTTCAGTAAAAATGTATCCGATATAAGCAACGATATCCCTTATTACAGTTTTCTTTCTAGGAGTGGCTGGTGAATTGCAACTGCGGGTGCTCAGCTAGCAGCTATGCATGTTTTTTTGGTTTTGTTTTTTATTTTAAATTTATTTTAATGACAGTTAACTGAGACTTTGGATTTCCATTCATTCATTGATGCCCTTTTCTCCCTTCCTACTCCACTCTGCCAATTCACTTTTCTCTTTGAAAATTAAAAGAAAAAATTATTTCTTTGTTGTTCAATCCCTCCCTGCAAGTACACTCCACCATGCTACCTTAGTTCTGGACTCCTTTCACAACAATAATATCTAATCATATATCCCTTTTAAACAGTTCTCTCCCTCCTCTGTTTCAGTGCAGTATACATTATATGCATATTTTACATTATACCATCAGGGTTCCTTGAATTAGTTACACAGTTCAGTTAAAAAGTATGTTACCCTTTTATTTGGAAATTATAAAACCCAATAGCTTTCCTTCAAGCATATAAGTCCTAAATTATGATGTTTAAATTTTAAAAAGTAAAGATGTTGAGTGATATTTTATTACATATAATTAAACAGTATTTTAATCCAAAGACCTTAAAAGAAAAAAGATTTATTTCCATCTGAATTTAAATTTAGTGTAGGAAAATCCTGGTAAATGGTATCCAAAAATGATTGGAATTGTACATCAATAGAGATACAGAAATACAAACTGGTTTTAGAATAGGCTATGGCATATAGGCCATAATAGTCAATGTCAGATGAATTTTGTCTGGGCAGAGAATACCAGAAGAACATTGATCTGTTTTTCATTGATTATGCAAAAGTACTTGACTGTGTGGATCACACCAAACTGTGGCTAGCTTTGAGAAGAGTGGGAATTCTAGAACACCTGATTGTGCTCATGCAAAATCTATACTTGGACCAGGAAACAGTCCTCAGAACAGAGCAAAGAAACTGCATGGTTCAAAATCGAGAAAGGAGTACATCAGGGATGCATCTTGTCTCCATAGCTGAGGAGGGACTGAAGCATTTACCTCAGAAGGTCAAGGACTATAGTCTTAAAAATGGACTGAAGCTCAACATCAAGAAGACAAAGATTCTTACCACTGGGCCAGTTGGCAGCAGCATGATAGATAGAGAGGAGATTGAGATTGTTAACAATTTAAGCTTGCTTGCTTCCACAATCAACACTCTTGGCACTTGCTGTTGTTGTTGTTGACTGCCTTTGAGTTGTGCACAATTCATAGCGACCCTATGAACAAAAGGCCTGAAGCCCTTCTACAACTATCGACATTTATTAAAGTTCATAGTTTCCAGAGGCATGTTGTTTAGGAAGTGGATGCCAGTGGCAGTCAGGAAATCAAAAGAATAATTGCATTGGATAAATCTGAGGTCAGGGACCTCTCCAAAGAAAAATGATGTCAGTCTGAAGATTAATGTACACCTAATCCAGGCCATGGTCTTTTCAATTGCTTGCCATGTATCAGAGAGCTGATTTGTTCTGGAGAGTATGAAACCAAGTTGCTCCTTAGAGGTGAGGATTTTGAGGCTCTGTCTCACATATTTAGGCATGTTTCCAGGAGATACTGGTCACTGGAGAAGGATATCATGCTTGTAATTGTGGAGAGAGAGCACAAGAGGGGAAGATGGATTGATAAAGTAATTGAGATAAAGGGATTAGGTGTGTTGGAGACAAAGAGACTAGCTCAGGATAGAGCAAGGTTCAGAGCTATTGTGCATAGGGTCGCTATAAGTCACAGACAATTTGAAGGTACATAACAACAACAACAATGCAAATTGTTAAAGAATCTCTGACTTCTGCTGCTGTGCATTTCCTTGATACATCTTCTGTGTGTACATTTGATGGTAAATTATCTGTACAGTATTTATTTGAGTTTGATACTTAAGAAGAGCCTGGACTTACCCTCTGTCTATTTATTTTTATTTTGAAGGAATGTCTTTAAAATTTGCATTTATTCACAGCTTTGAACTTTCTTATGTTTGTTTCTTTCAGGCACTGGCACATCTCCATTTAATAGAATACATTGGAGAACAGACTGCTTTGCTAATTAAGGTACATTAAATAGTACAGTAGAATGTACTACACATATACTGTACACATATACTGTCCATTTGCTTTTTAAAAAAGGTTTTATTGGTTTTCATATAAGAATTCTTTTACAATATGTTTCATTCATATACATTGTGAGGTTATTTTATCTATTTAAATTTTATTTTATTTTGGCTTACATACACATTGCATAAAGTTAATATATTTTGTTTTTCATACTGGACCTTTCCCCTTTCCTTTACCAAAGATTCAGTTAGAGTAATGATATAAAAATTTACTTTAGGAAATCTGGTTTTTTGTCTGTATTGCCTAGAGCTAAAAGGTGATGTTTCCCAAAGAATATGTAGTGGTAGGTTTATTTTTTAAATAAAGTTTTATTTTAATTGTGTTTTTTAATGAATGTTTACAGAGAAGTTAGATTTTCATTCATTCATAGTTGCACATTTTACCCACTCTCCTTCCTTTCCCCCTTTCCTAGTTCACACATTAATTAATATTCATTCATTGTTGCACAATTACCTCCCTACCCCTAGAGTCCTTTTTGCGATGATATACCTCTTACGGTTCCCCATATTTTGCTATTAACCTTTAGTTAAAAAATGTCTAATTAGAGAAGCAACTCACCTTTAACCTGAGCAAATGAATGCCACAGAACTCCTATTCTGGGCTGTGTTGCTATTCAAGTCAGAGTGGCAGTGTATGTTGTTGCCATGTGCTAGCTAAGGAAGAGGTTCCTCTTGATCACATTAGGAGAATGGAGTATGTTCTCAGAATTGCTTTAACCTCATATACTCATAGAAATCCAGAGAGTTCTATAAGGAGTTAGGAAAGCATGAGTGTGGACTCTGAATACTTGTTGGTCACTGAACCTTAATCTCTTTAATTTAAGAAAGTGCTTTTAATATCTCACAGCCCGTAGAATCAAATCCTAAATGCTTTTAAGATTGCAGCTGCTTTTTCATACCTAACTTATAGTTCTGAGCATTGCTGTTATCTACCCTTTCCAGATGGTCCCTGAGGACCAGCGTCTTGCCGTGGCCATAATCCTTATAGTTTGGGTCTCAGCCATAGCCTCATCTTTGATTGACAACATTCCATTCACTGCCACCATGGTGAGTTGCATGGTTCTGATGTATAAGGCTCCAGTGTCACCCACTAGGCACTTTGGAACTTCTCTTCCTTTGAGGAAGCAGGGAATGAGACAATCTCCCATTGCTGGAATCACTAACTGAGAGAATTGATTAAGATGAGTCCAAGACTGAGATTGCTGAGAACCCCTAATTCACATTGGTTGGAGGAGCAGTCTAGGATATTTGTTTAAAGGAGTTGTTTTCTCTCCTCTCCTCTTCTCTCCTCTTCTCTCCTCTCCTCTCCTCTCCTCTCCTCTTCTCTTCTCTTCTCTTCTCTTCTTCTCTTTCTTTTCTGATTACATTTCTCTTCTTCTTTCCTCTACCTTCTCTCTTCTTTCCTTCCTTCTTACCTTCTTTCTCTTCCTCTCTTCCTTCCTTCTTTCTTCCCTCCCTCTCTTCTTCCCTCCCTCTCTCCTTTCCCTTGTCATTCTCTCCATCACTTTCCCCTTCCTTTTTCTCTTTGTTTTAAAAAACTTTAAAGACTCCAAAACAGATAATATCTGAATGCTTTTAATATTTATACCCTATAAATGCAAAAGCATGTGCCTTTTCTAATCATCAGCTTTCTTCTCTGTGGTCTGAGGAGTAATGGTTGAGAGTCTGTGGGAGGGTTCTGTAATGACCACTGAGTTTCACAACCTTAGTGGCCGTGCTCCTGGTCTCAACTGTATTCTTGACATGAATTGCTGCTTGACTTAAGTCAGCAATTGTAAAAAAATTAAGGTTATGTAATAAAGGCAAGGACTTGCTTAGAAGAATCTGGGGTCCTCAATGTGCTAGATATTGGAACCTGGCTCTGCAGGAATATTTTTCATAGCCAGATTTGAACCATTAATTATGAGTGCATGTAGCATGATTAAGGGTCTCTCTGCTAATGTTGCGATATCATATATCAAATGTGGAAGAACAAGGGGTACAAAGAAACAGAACTAAAGAGCTGGCCCACGTAGAAGAGGAAAACTTTGGTCTCAGTAGTTTTTCTCTCTCCTTAAGAAATTGAGGTTCATTGCGAAATGTACATCACTGACTCAAGAGCGCACATCTATCTCTATCCAGGCAACTCAACTCGTGAAGTGATTGTTCTTAGGTCTGCTGGTTTAGCAGTACTGACTTAGTTTTTTTTTCTGTTGTTATTACTTTTTTTATAACCTCCCAAGCCAGAGAAGCCCTACAGGTGTTATTCAATTTCCTTGTTTCAATACAGTGGGCACACTGCCTCTTGTGGTTGGACTATGTTCCACAGAGGCGCTGGAAAGATACTGTCCAAACACTATTAGGAGTGAGACATTGGGTCTGGCACTGCTCTGCCACTGATCTTTGGCTTCTAGACAATGTCTATTGTGATATATGTGTTCTTTTCTCAGATGACATGTAGCCTACGGAATTTGATAAAATGGAACACCTTAATGCAGCATTGTGCAGTCTGCAAATACAGGGGACATTTCAGTTCTGTGTATTAATAATTGTCAAGAATCACCAGTTTAGGAGCTTCACTGTTCAAATTATCTTTGGAGATGAAAAGGAGAGTCTGATTAAGTCTTCTAATTCTCAATTCATCAAGGGAGACACTTCCTAATCTGGAGGCATAGGCCATATCCTCAAGACCTTGAACTTTTCAAAACTAAAGAACATAGGAATTATAGAAGAGAGAGGCAAGGAAACGAAAATTACTAGGGGACTGAAGTTCTAGAAATTGACTTATATCCTCTGAAGAAGTAAGTGAAGTTCAATAGAGAGAGGAGATTGGGGATCTGGTAAGAAATGTGAACTTGTTTTTTTTTTTATTTTTACTTAAAACCATGTTAAAGTATGATGGAATGAACATCACTGATTTGGTATTCTTGTTAATCTAAACATACAGAATTCAACAGTGCTACTTTGAATATTTATATATTCAAATATATATATATGATATATAAATACGATATTTATATACTTCTATGGTCATAAATAGGTTGATGTTATGTTGAGGCTGAACACTGTGACACTGATGTGTCAAATGCGTTAATGGTTGGTTACTCAATGTGGACAGTGTGGGGTGGAGCTCCCCGATTAAAACAAGCTTGTTAATAAAAACAAAACAAAACAAAACAAAACAAAACAAAACAAAAACACCACAAACAAAAATCAAGTTTGGAAGCAGGAGCGACGTCCACTTCCATAATAGCTTGCCTCCAGAAACTCTATGAGCCTGGAGAGAGGATGAAAGACACACAAGCATTGAGGACTCTCCTTCATAGGGTCGCTGTGAGTCGCCTGCGACTCGACGGCACAATAACATCAACTTAGAGAAAGATCAGTTGGCCCAGCGGACAGAAAGTGATGCTACCAAGCCAAAGGTGGGTGACTTTTAATCCGTGGCCCTTGGGCCAATCTTTCATTGTTTTTTTTCAAACATTCCTCTAGGTCGTATAGCCCTTGTGTGTGTCCTCTTGCCATACAGTGGTAACTAGTGCTTGCTGTGAGGCTAAACACTGTGACACCGATGTGTCAAATGTGTTAATGGTTGGTTATCCAATGTGGACAGTGTGGGGTGGAGCTCCCTGATTAACAAGCTTCAAAGCAGAAGTGGCATCCACTACCATAATTGCTTGCCTCCAGAAATCCTATGAACCTGGAGAGAGGATGAACGACACACAAACTTTAAGGACTCTCCTTCATAGGGTCCCTATGAGTTGCCTGTGACTCGACAACACTTAATAACAAAAGCAACAATGGTAATAAATAATATTCAGGGAAATTTGGGAAACAAAGAAAAGGAAGAAATTACCCTTAATCACACTAAATTCACATAATTACTCTTAATATCTGGTGGTTTTGTTATCCTTTGTTTCTTTTAATTTTTAAGAAAACTTTTGTGATTTGAGTTATAGTTGACTTCACAGAGAAAAGTGGTTTTATCTTTAATTCATAACACATTTTTTGTAACATTGCTTGCAATCCTTACAGTATAACAATGTTCTTCCCAACAACTCTTCCTTGTGCTTACTATTTCCATTTGTCTTTATTGCCTTCTGAGATTTAACACTGGGCAATAATGTCCATGATATCCTGAATAATTCAATGTTCTAGGAAGTGCATACTTTCCTAGTGTTATTGTTGCTTTTATACATTTCTGTATTTTTTTACCAAAAGCTGAGCTACAAGGTTGAAATCAGTTTCAAGCTTAAAAGGTAACTAAGGACTGTAGTTTCAGGAGTAACCTCTGTCTCTATCAGAACAGTAAGTCTTTTTATTATTTTGGGTTCTGTTCCACATTTTCCTTCCACTTTATTTAGGAACTCCCATTTTGATCCTTTTAGAGTTATTGATACCGGTAGACAGGAGCCATCTAGTTCTTATCTCAGGGTTGTGGAGGCTGAGTTTCACATTGATCCTCTAAAATAATTGTTTCTATGCACTTTTATTTTCTTTATTTCTCTATGCTTTTGGATAAGTAGAAAACAACACATGCATCTTAAATAGTCAGAAACTTAAAAAAATTATTTTTAAAATTATTTTTATTGTTATACTAGTTTATTTACACAATTTGAATACATTGTTTTCCAATTTTCTATACCCTCCCACCCATAAAATTATACAATTCCATGATTAATCCTCCTTTCCCCCTGCACATTCTCATCCCTCTGCTTCCACCCTCCCCCACCTTGGATCCTTATACTCATTCTACAATAATGGTTTTATATGATATATTTATCCTTGTAAGAATGAGTTCGTTCACTCAACATAATGCTTTCCAGTCCCTCCCAAGTCTGGTGATAATTCACAAAATCATTGCTTCTGTGTGCTATGTTGTATTCCATTGTGTGGATGTATCATAATTTCTCAATTCATTCACTTGTTGTTGGACATTTGGGCTGTTCCCATGTTCTTGCCATGGTGAATAACACTGCTATGAACATTGGTGTACAAGTCTCCATTTGTGCTTCAGTTCTCATTTTCATATGGGATTTCTATATTCAGGTTTTGGAGGAAGTGCCAAGTTGCCTTCCAGAATGTTTGTATCATTTTACTATCCCACCAACAATGTATAAGAGTTCCTTTCTCACCACATCCTCTCCAATATTTATTACTTGCTGTACTCTTAAACTTTGCCACTGTTACTCGAGTGAGATGGTACCTTTTGTGGTTTTGATTTACATCTCTCTTATTTCCAGTGATATTGAGCATTTCTTCATGTGTTTGTTCAAATATCTTCCTCTGTGATAATTCTTTCCATGTCTTTTGTCCACTTTGTAATTGGGTTATCGGTCTTTTTCTTGTTGAGGCCCAGGAGTGTTCTGTAGACTTTTGTTATGAGACTCTTGTCTGAGATGGTATTATAAAAAACTTTTAAGACTTCATTTGTTATTCATCAAAGTAGAGTATAGAACATTGTCTCTGTGGACTATGTTATGTCAGTTTAACCTTTTACCTCAAGACCATGGTCTTGAGTCCCCAGACTTAGTAAATCATTCCTTCAGTGGCTAAAAATGAAAATAGCTGAAAGTTTCCATAACTTTGCCCTTTGTGTTTCTAGATATGTACTTATATTTACTGAAAAACAAAACCCAAACTCATGTACATAGTAGAGATTTCCTCTGCCCAAAATAGCAGAATCTTCATAGATGCATATATTTAGAGAGCTCTGGTAGCCTAATGAAGTTACACTGCCATCCCAAAGGCATGTGATACAAATCCACCAGCTGCGCTCCATAGGAGAAAGATAAGCAGTATACTTCTGTGTGATTTACTGACTCTGAAATCCTCCTGGAGTGTCAGCTATGAGTAGGTTCTAACTAGATAGTTGTTGTTTTTGTTGTTATATGCTGTTGAGTAGCACAATGACAATAACAATATCTAGATCTGTATCTATTTGTGTGTGCGTGTGTGTGTGTGTGTGTGTTGATATTTATGGATGTAGTCCCATTTACCTTCCCAAATACATTTGGCTTTCTGGTCTATATATCTTCACTCACAAGACTTAAAGATACTATGGGCAG